CAAGTTGAGGAGCACAGATAGAGTCAGATAATGCCAGTAAGAGCAATAACAAAGTGCATCTAAGCATTCTGTGAGCCTGGAAGAGGCAGCTGGTGCTGCTGTCTACAGAGAGGAGCAGCAGTCGGGGACCCCACGTAGGGACTGACACTTGCACCGGTCCCAGACAAGGCAGGCTGATTAGGAAACGGGTGAAGGGCCTTCCAGGAAAAGAGAGAAAGAGTCTCAAATTCTGCAGGAGTCCCCTTCCTCCTTTCTACTCTTGACCCACTTGCAAATGTGGTCAGTTTTAAGATGAAATAGGTTCCTTCATGGCAAGAAAAACCCAGAGCATACTGTTCTCACTTATATGTGGAAGCTAAAACATTGATCTCATGGAAGGAGAGTAGAACAGTGGTTCACAGGTAGGGAAGGGTAGTGGGAGGAGGAATAAAGAGGGGATAGTTAATTACAGCTAGATAGCAGGAATAAGCTCGAGTGTTCTGTAGCACAATAGAGCGATTATAGTTAATAATAATTCATTGTATATGGCAAAATAACTAAAAGATTAGGTTTGGAGTGTTCCTAACACAAAGAAAAGATAAATATTTGAGGCGACAGATATCCCAATTACCCAGATTTCATCATTACATATTGTTTGCTTGTATCAAAATATCACATGTACCCCACAAATATGTACAACTATTACATATTCATGAAATCTAATAATAAAATAAAAAAATCCAGAGCATGTTTCTCTGTGTATCTGAGCAAAACCAGCAATGAGGCCTGAGCCGCATGTGGCCTTCCCTGCCACATCAGCCGCAGCAGGCAAGATGCGGCAGGTTCCGGGAAACTCTTCTCTTTCCAGAGAGGCACAGAGAGATGGAACAAATGCAGTGAGCAGGTGGGGGGCTGCTTCACGGGCATCATGGCATTACCAGGTGTGTGTCTGGCACAGGGAGAAGAGAAGAGAAGATGCAGGTAGTCGCTGGCGCTACCTCCCTTACATTATTTCTTTAGCAGATCTACTGGTGATTTTCTTCCTTCAACCTGTCTGCTATAACAAAGTACCATAGACTAGGTGGCTTATAAACAACAGAAATTTATCTTCTCACAGGGCATCAGCAGGGTCGGGTTCTGGTGACGACTCTCCTCGGGTTGCAGACTGTGGACTTCTCAATGTATCCTCACATGGTGGAAAGACGGTGCGAGAGCACTCTGGGGTCTCTTTCATAAGGGCAATAATTTCATTCATGAAGGCTCTATTTTCATGACCTAATGACCTCAAAAAGGCCCCACCTCTTATTTCATCACGTTGGGAGTTAAGGCTTCAACAAAGGAATTTTGGAGCAATGAACATTCAGATCATAACAGTGATCTCAACTGCCTAATTATATATTATAGCATATGCAAGATACTCTTTGAGCTACTTTGTAATTTCTTTATAACTGAGCTCCAGATTTGTTATTTTAAAATGACATAAGGGGAATTAGATAAAACTGTGTTGACAGGAGAAAAATAATAGTAATAATAAATGTATCCATCAAATTTAGTTAATGTCCCATATCTTTAACAATTCTAGAATAGCATTGTATTACATGTTTGGAGAAAATCTACCACTTAGAAATCATCAGAAGGTAGAAAAATGATGAAGTTTCAAAGGATTTTCTTCAGTCTAAAATATACGAAATTTTATAAACTTCATTTCCAATATTTTCTTTCCAAACATGAATTGAACTTATATTTATCCATAGAAATATAGGCTTCTAGTCAAAGAAAATCCTATTCTAGAAGATTTATCAGGAAAACTTACCACTGCTAAGTAATATTATGCTACTAGCCTACCTTCAATTACAAGGACTTTGAGAAGTTTTTACAGCTCACTGAATAAATTACTAGTTTAATGGAAGAATGGTTTTTCCATTCTCTTTCATACAATTCCCCTGAAAACAATAGGCATTTGCAAGAAGCTGGCTTTGTTTGGCTTAACAGTAACTCGAAATATTGACGCCATGACCCTTTACAAAGTACTCTAACCAACTACCCTAACAGCCTCTCATTGCTTTGGTATTGCCAAATCAGGTCTAACAGCAGTCATTCAGGGTTTCACTTGCCCTCTGTGCCCTAAATTCTTATGGCAACTAATCTTCATATTTTCCAGGTAAGTTAATTTTATTATACTGCACCATAGGTCCCATAAGGACTTCCCACAACTTGACATTTTAAAAACATGGTCACTATGGTTAGACAGCTTCTAAAATGGCTCCTAATGATCCCCACCTCCCAATGATTCATATTCTCACATAATCCTCTCTCCTTGAGTGTGGGCTAGATCTGCTGACTCTTCTAAGGAATAGAATAAGGTAAAGGTAAGGGGAAGTCCCTTCTAAGATCAGGTCACAACAGACGTAACTTCTGTCTTGCTTGCATTCTCTCAGGTTCTTCTCTGTCGCTCACTCTGAAGCAAGGTGCCACGTTGTGAACTATGGAGAGGCCAGTGCGGCTGGAACTAAGGGCAGCCCCCAGTGAACAACCAGAAAAAACTTGAAGCCCTTAGCCCAACAGGCTTAAAAGAACTAAATACAGACAACAACTGTATGAGCGAGCCTTGAGATGTCTGCAACCCTGGCCAACAGCTTCATGGCAACCTTGTGAGAGACCCTGAGCCAGAAACCACAGCTAAACCATAGCTCTGTTCCTGCAACTATGAGATAATCAATGAGATTTATTGCCCCACTGTGAAACATTTGGTCACTTGAGGAAGTTGCCTCTCTTTTTAAAAAACATTAAATAGCTTTCTTGAGATATAATTCACAAACTATACAACTCATTCATTGAAAAGGTACAATGCAGTGGTTTTTAGTATTTCGCAGGGTTGTGTGGTCTTTTGTGAATGGCTTATTTCCCTTAGCACAATGTTTTCAAGGTTCATCCATGCTGTAGCTTGCGTCAGTACTTCATTTCCTTTTATGGCAGAATAATACTCCATTGTATAGATATACCACATTTTGTTTATCCATCCATCAGTTAATGGGCATGTAGGTTGTTTCAAGTTTTTAGACATTTGTGTGCAAGTCTTTGTGTGAACATAGGTTTCATTTCCCTTATTTGGGTAGATACCTGGGAGTGAAATTGCTGGATCAGAGGGTAACTCTATGTTTAACATTCTGAGGAACTGCCAGACTGTTTTCCAAAGTAGTTGCAATGTTTTACATTCCCGCCACTAATGCATGAGAGTTCCAGTTTCTCCACATCCTTGCCAACACTGTTATTGTCTGTCTTGTTAATTAAAGCCAACCCATTGGGGTGTGAAGTGGTTATCTCATTGTGGTTTTCACTTGTTTTTCCTAATACTAATGATGTTGAACATCTTTTCGTGTGCTTATTTAGCCATTTGTATGTCCTCTTTGGACATACAAATTTCAACACTTCACCCATTTTTAATTGAGGTATTTGGTTTTTCATTTTTGAAGTATAAAAGCTCCTTCTATATTCTGGATTATGAGTCCCTTATTTTGTATATATATAAATAATGCTATACACATGAATGATTTGCAATATTCTCTCCTATTTTGTGAGTTACTCCTTTACTTTCTTTGTGATGTACTTGAAAGCACAAAAGGTTTTAATTTTGATGAAGTACAAGTTTTCCTTTTGTCTTTGTGCTTTATATTGTATCTAAGAAGGCTTTGCCTAATTAATCCATGGTCACAAAGATTTATCTTTATGTTTTCTTCTAAGACTTTCATAGTTTTAACCCTTACATTTAGATCTATGATCCATTCAGAATTGATTTTTGCATATAGTGTGGAGTAGAAGTCCAACATCATATTACTGCATATGGATAACCAGTTGTCCCAGCACCATTTGTTAAAAAGACAATTCTTTCCCCCAATGAATTATCTTGGCACCTTGTCAAAAATCAATTGACCATAAGTGTACAGATTTATTCCTGTATTCTCAATTCTATTCCATTGATCTACACGTCTATCCTTATGCCAGTACTATGCAGTCTTAATTATGGTAGCTTTGTAGTAAGGCTTAAATTGGGAAGTGTGAATCCTTCAAGACTGTTCTCTTTTTTCAATATACTTTTGGATATACTGGGTCCCTTACAATTTCATATGAATTTTTGGATCAACTGTTAACTTCTTCAAAAAAGGGAGCTGGGATATATAGGGTTTATGTTGAATCTGTAGAGCAATTTGGGAGGCCCAGGATTGTTTCACAAAAGGAAACTTCTCCAGTTCATACTGCCCAGTAATACACATCTGGAGCCTCACCTTTGTGTACCTCCAAACCCAATGTCCAAGAAGCTACCTGGACATTAGTTACCTCTTGACAGAAGAGTAGTCTACCTTTTTGCACTCTGTTTAATAATCTTATATTTATGAAGCAGTTTATAAATATGAAGTATGGTGTTAGAAGCCAATTCTTGGCTCACTCATTAGATGGCCAGTTACCTCATTAAAAAATCAATTTAATTTTACATGATGTAAATAAAAAGTATAATAATCCTTGAGTTTAAATGTGGGTATGAGTTTATCATAAGTTTCTAGCTGCAAAGGTGACAGCTATTAAAATGACCTTTTAAAATGACCTGGAAAGATTAGGCTAACCATCTACTTGTCAATTACACAGTCCAAGATTGCCAAGTACCTATCACACACCACTAATGCAGAAGTTTTTCCAAGCAATCTATTTAATTTTATCATTATATACTAAGCTGTATATCACTTGGATCATTCCTTTCTGTTTTAAGATTGCATTTAAATCAAAAATACATGACAGGTATAGTGGCTAGTGCTTGTAATCCCAGCACTTTAAGAGGCTGAGATGGCAACATAGTGAGATCTCGTCTCTACAGAAAAATTTCTTTAAAAATTAGCCAGGTGTGGTGGCGCATGCCTGTAGTCTCAGCGACTTCAGACGCTGAGGCAGGAGGATCACTTGAGCTCAGGAGTTTGAGGCTGCAATGAGCACTCCAGCCTGGGCAACAGAGAAAGACCTTGTCTACAAATAAATAAATAAGGGATACTTTCTACCTTTAGAGGGCACTCATAACATACAGTACTTACACATTCACAATAAACAGCTCTACCAGGAATAGAACATTAAAGACCTGTGGATAAGCTACTGATCTGCAAAACAGATAATCCTTTTCCTTGGATTAGTGTAACTTTCCAGGGAGGTCCCCAGCAAACTCAGGAGATGGCCCAGCATTAGCCAAAGGAAGAGACACAGAGCAGACCCCATGTGAATGTTGGTAGAAACCAGGCAACAGGATTCATTTAGTGCCTTCATCGTAAAAACATGCCCATGCTTTCCCAAGATGACCAAGAGTGCCTCCAGAAACATGCCTCCCGGCCGTCTATGTGGACACAATTCCTGCTCCTGTTTAGGGCTGAGAGATACAATGCAAACATTCGCCAAACCCCAGAAAATGAAGGGGACCCCAACGATGCACCTGATGTCAAGGTAAGACGATCTCCACAATCCATGATTCTTTCTTGACAAGAGAAAGGCTTAATCCAGAAAGAATACAAAACCATGAGCAAGCTTTAGTGCCGTCATTCGCATATATTAATGTTTTATCAAAAATATTTTCAAGCCAACCCCAAGGGAAATATAAAACCTTGATGATAATTACCGTATAGATCCAGTTTTCTCTAACCTGAACAGCTTCACATTATCAAAACAAATGCTTACTCATTGCTTTTTTTGTTACTTTGCTTATTTCAGGACATGTTTTAAAAAGCAGTAGACGTCTATATGAAAAAAGAAAAAAAAAATCATTCTCCAAGGTCTATATGAAAAAAGAAAAAAAAAATCATTCTCCAAGGTCTATATGAAAAAAGAAAAAAAAAATAAAATAAAAATAAAAATAAAAAGCATAGGCTGACGCCACGGCACTCACACTAGCCTAGGCAAGAAAGCGAGACTCTGTCTCAAAAAAAAATAAAAAATAAAAAAAATAAAAAGCAGTAGACATAGATTTTATAGCTATCGGTATTCACCCTTGGATGTTTTTCTCTGATATAAATATTATATCCCATGTACTAATAAAAGAAAGAGAAAAAGTATAGACTGATTCCTACAAAAATTCCAAGAGAAAAAATTGATAAACTAATGTAAGATGATAAGAACATTAAGGAGCTAAGGGCTGTTTTTTCTAAAATCACAGTGTCCTAAGGTGAATTTTCTAAGCATAAGTTTCTATTAATAGGTAATAACATTATTTCTCTAAAGAGTGACAGTTTTCCTGCTCAGTGTCATGTGTATCTTTGAAGAGTGTACAGTTTAAGTCTGCAAATCCTCTTAGCTATTAATAGAACTATCTCTTAAAAGGTTATTAGGTATGGGAGATGGGCATGTGTTAATGTCTAACAAACAATGAGCAGACTCAGAATTTAATGTTGTAAAATCCTACTACAGCAAACCTACCCAAATACCTTAACCCTAAAAAATTCATCTCTTCCTGTGCCATGTCTCATATCCTGATAATAATCATTTATTTGCAAATTCCCTGTTTAATTTGCTAGTTGTCCCCTTTTTCCTGATGTTATTTTAACCAATTGGCACAACTGGAAGAAAAGTTTTATAGAAAAAAAGGTCAATAAGAAGTTTTTTCTGTAGAAATGTACTGACCTTTGCTTTTGAGCTTTCAGACATATGTGAACAAATAACACATGAGTTTCCACACCGCCATTATCATCTAAGAACTAGGAGTTTAAGACACTAGTATGAAATAGGATATAGTGGCCAGGAGTCCTTAATTAATGGACATCTAAATGTAGGAAACACACACCAAATATATTTCTAAAATGTAGAATTTGGAGGTTACTCTGAGGAAATAGCAACAACAACAGCAAATATATATTTATGTTGTAAAAGTACGAACATTGTGTATGTATGTTGTATATGTCTGTATTTATGTACATACACACATAAACATAATTTGAAATGTATAACTGTCTTGGGAGGTATGCTATAAGTAGAATCACAGGCAAATGCAATGGAGAAGTGTTTAAGCATCAGCAGTTCACCTGCCCACAGCATCCAAGAACAGGCCGCACGCGCCAGCACCAGGTAGCCTGAGCTGCTGTCCTGACCTCAATAACCAGGGTAAACAGGTCCAGGCCTGTACAGCAGTAGAAGAGAGTAAAAGGAAGTTTCCAGTTGGGATGTTACTGGCTCCTTTACTTGGTTTTGTTTTTTTGTTTTTTTTTTAATTTATATTCCATCTAAATACAGAAAGAAGACATATCCCTCTTCTAACAAATACAAGGATGGTAGTACTCAATTCATTTTGATTCTACAAATACCATGGAATCCTCACTAACTTCAAAACTTCAGGCTAGGTGCTGCAGGGAATAAAGAGAAAGAAAGATATGCTACTTCCTCTCTAGAGACTCACAACATATTGGCAAAGACAAACATGCTAACGTATTATTTACATGAACTCATGTCGATAATATGGGATGCCTATGTAATTACTGTACATTCTTTCAATCAGTAAGGCAGTAAGAAATTAGGAATAGAATATGATCAGTATGGGTAAGATGACTGAAAAAGGCCTAATGGAAGAATGGAAGGAGTGAAATCAAGATAGACATGAAATAATGTTTAAGAATATATAGATGCAGAAAGAGGGGACATGGGCTAAAATGTGTCTAGATGTCCAGGGGCCAATGAGAAACCCTCAAAAATTCCTCAAACTATGCCTCACACCTTACACAAAAAGTAATTCCAAATGAATCATGGGCTTAAATGTACAACTATTTGTAAAACTATACAACTTTTAAGAAAGAGTGGGAGAAAATCTTTGTGACCTAGGGCTGGGCAAAGAGTACTTAGACAACAAAAGCATGATCCATTAGAAAAAAATCAATAAATTAGACCTCATCAGAATTTTAAAACTTTTCCTCTGCCAAAGACACTATTTAAAGGATGAAAGACTAGCTACAAACTGCAAGTAAATACTTGCAAACCTGTGACCCTAGCACTTCGGGAGGCTGAGGCAGGAGGATCCCTTGAGCCCAGGAGTTTGAGGTTGCAGTGAGCTATGATGATGCCACTGCACTCCAGCCTGGAGGACAGAGTAAGACCCTGTCTCCAAAAAAGAAGATAAAATAAAATAAAATAACTGAAAAAAGGAAGTTTAAGATGAAGCAAATACATTGAAAGGATAATAGTTTAAACCATGTAGTGACAATTGGAATACTTTCAAATATTCAAGAATAAGACCCAAATCATGGGCTACATAAGTTATTTGATTTGATATCAACTATATAAAAGGGTTTTTTTTAACAAGAATATATTTTTCTTATATGATTTTAAATTCTAAACACTAGAAATTATAATGATTTGTTTTCAAGTGATAGATCATTCCAAGGACTTTTATCAAAATAAGACTGTAAATGAACTAAAATATTGTAAACATAGTCTTAATGCATTTTTGTAACTCTGTTTAAATTGCATATGACTAGAAGACAAAAAGAAATAGCAGGGAAGCAGGAGGCTAGCAGCTCAGAAACCTCAGCCCAGGAATTTGTGGAAGATGCTGGAAAGACAGCATAACACCAACCAGCACCTTCTAATCACAGCATCTCCATGTTCTCATTTCACATTCCCAGGAGAGAGAATCTGGCACAGTATGAATGTGATCTACCTCTGGATCCATTATTCCTGGCCATTCTGTAGGTCATGAAACAATTGTAAGGAGTTTTCCAGCACGTGTTTTGAGCAACTACAACTTTGAACCAGCTTATGGGATTCCTAAATTAATCATGACACTTGAAGTAGACAGCCCTGGTTTGGTTGTTTGAGTTCAGGCATTTTTATACCTATCATTCACAAGCTTTATAATCACACCTCAGAGATAAATGCATTTACCTTCTTTGATTATCTCCCATTCCCACCACCAGATATTTTGCAAAGTATCTGTGATGGCTCCCATAAAACTAAAGTCTGGAGTCACTAGACCCCCAGCCTCTGGGGGACCCTTTCTGCTCTCCTGCTTGAGCCAGGCCAGCTGACCCTGTATGGATCAACTCAGTCCTAACAACACATGAATAAGGCAAGGGAGGATCCCTTAGGCAGCAGGCCCATTAGACCCAGCCAAACTGGGAGGTAAGAGAAGCTCACCTCCCTCCACACACACAACCCCCTCACCTTAGGCCTTTCCCCAACATCCCCAGGCATACCTGAAGCATCTGATTCTCTTATTCTGGCCTGGTTCCTCCCTTTAGGACAAGAAATAAAGTTTAATTTCATATGCACTTAGACATAAGGGAATTAATATACTGCTCCTGCTCATGAAATCTATAAGGCATGCTCATATTAGAGCCACAAGAATGAACTCCTAGAGGCTTACAGTTTGGGACGATTTCCAGCCCCTCTTCAGAAGCCACACACTGGTCTAAAATCCAACAGCGATGACACTGGCTTCTGCTGGTTACAGAGAAGGTGCGGCGTTCCTGTGTTCTCCCTTCACTCCAAACCTCCTCCTTTTCATGCAATCTTGGCCAAAAGCCAGGTTAGAATTCTGTTTGGTTCATCCATCAGAAGTGGGCTGATTTTTAGATATATGAAATCACTCAGAGGAGGAAAACAATGTTGCCTTTGGGTTTTAGGAAATCAGGGGACCAGAAGGCTCCCTGTATTTTCAAATTCTTTCCTCCCTGAGTCAAGATTCAGAGCTCATGCTCTCTTCTCTGTGCCTCACGCCCAGATGCAATAAATATTCCAAGGAGCCCAAGAGGGAGATAGGCTCTTCTTTCCTAATACTCTTTAAAAGCAAGGAGTGGGAGAATGGTGAATGCTGACATCTGCTGGAAATCCAAGCATTGCAACATTTCCCATAGGTAAAATTTGAAGCTCAATTGTAACTAAGTTTGATTACTTGAAGACATCCTTTTTCACCAAGTGAAAAAGCTCAATAATATGCATCCTTTGGCTGACACAGGTACAAACTGCCACCAAGCAGGATAATGACATAAAGGGCAATGTCTTTGAAATGTCAAGAGCTGGTTTTTCACTTAAGGTCTAAGTTGGATTTCATTCTCTGAGTCTCGCTTTTTAACATCTATAAAATCAAGACAATAATACCTCTCACACATGATTTCAATGAGTTGTTTTGAAAAAGATCAAATGAGATAATGCATTTAAAAATACTGGCAAGCTACAAAGATGCAGGCTTTTTAAAAAATCAGATACTCTTTTTTTTTTTTTTAAGCCTGCATCTGTGAGCTCAGGTTCCCACTAGTCCTGTGCTGCCATCCTGGGACCCCCTGGAACCCTATGTGCTTGGTTTGTAGCCAGTTTCTACCACAGTAGCTGTTAATGTAGTTATCTCCATCTAAAGATGGGCCTTGCACTTACTGAGCACATAGTGTGAGCCCAGTTAGTACTGATTGGCCAACTGATTAGTAAATAGAAGTGCATTATCTCACTACTTCATTCCTGCTGTGTGGAGAAAAACCATACTCAGAGAGAGCAGTTATTTCTTGACCTCTTCGAGCTACATATGCCCTGAAAGAAATTAACAACAGTTATTAATCCTGAATGGCCCCCCAAATGGGTAATTGCATAGTAGTGCCAATGTCCGACTTCCCCAAGAGAAACATTCCTTTTAAAATGCCAAGCAAAGTAGTTCAATTCAGTTGTGTCCAACTCAAAGAAATCAATGACTGCTAACAAGTTCTCCCGGCAGCCAGGCAGGAAGAGGGAAAAAGGCATAGAAGGACAGCCTGCGCGGCCTGGGTGAGGAGCCTCACACAATGCCCAGCTTATTAAGGACTACTGGAAAAGCTACAAAGCCCAGGCCCCCTTCTCGAGCCCTGACACAAATTGTCCGCTTTGGACAGGACAATGTCTTCCCTTGTTCTTGCCGTCTCCTTTGTTGACTGTCAGGCCCACTAGTGTGAAATTGGGAGATCCGTCCGCAGGACTTGCGGACAAATGGAGCATTTCCTCTGGCATGCAGCATTCTGAGTCCCTTCTTAACAAACCTTAGACCTTCCAGGTTTGCTCACGCTGTTGTGACAGCTTCTATCTCATAGTCTCTCACCTATTACAATTGAAGAAGAAATGAGACACATCGTTTAGAATTTAAAATTGCATCTATTAAAAATCTTTTTATTATAAAAAGTAAAACATATATATACATGTAAAGAAAAATACTACAATAAAACCCTATGTGCCAATCACCCAGGTTCAACAGTTATCAAGTAAAGTCATTTCAAAGTTCATTCACTTAACAGATATTCATGAAATACATGTTATATCCCAGTACTGCATAGGGTTTTGAGACACAGGTCCAAATAGGGCAAAGTACTGAGGCTCAGACAGCTCAGAGTCTAACAAGAAAACAGACTCTCACAATGCAGAGCAGTCTGTGCTATGAGAAAGCGTTACAGGCAAGTAACCCAACTCGGGAGAGCTTCCCTAAGGAAACTGCATCTAAGCTGGGACTGGCAGGATAAATGGGAGATTGCCCTGGGAGAGAAGAGAGGAGCAGATTGGAAGGGGGAGTGATTCAGGCAAAGGGAGCAGTGGATGCAAAATCCCAAGAATGAGAGTGAACAAGATTTGAGGAACTGAAGGAACATTAATACAACTGGTGCTTCAAGTACAAGGAAATTGTAGTGAGAATGGGTAGACAGAGTACAGGTCAGCGAATCACGAAAGGTCTTCAGTGCAATATGAAGTTGCTTCGAGTTCATCCTGCAGAGAAATGAAGAGCCCCTGAGAGATTAAAGGGAGGGAAGTAACATGACCACACTCACCTTTTAGAAAGATCACTTGTCCACAGGGTGGGGAAGAGGTTACAGTGGTCAGAGGTGCTGTGTATGAGCAAAGGCAGGAACTGCTTTGGATATATCCAACGTCACGAGAGAAACCTGTGGTTGGTTCTCCACTTCCTGACTGTGCACTCCTCCTCCACCTACGGCTTTTCCACTGCCCTTTCAGTATCTAAAATACTGTTCCCTGGTTTTAGGTAAATCAGATCATTATGGAAGCTACATTATCCATTTAGAACCTCAGAGAACTAACCAATTTAGTCAGGAGGGTGGAGAAGTAGCAGCCAGGACACTAACCTATCCAGTATCTATAAAACTGAAGTCAGTAATTCAATCTCCAGTGTAGGTTTGTAAGCATGGAATTAGTAATTAGTCATGGACTTTACATTACTTACTAAGAATTACTATGTGAAGAATGAAAAATTAGAATTTTGGTCCAAGACAATGAATGTTGTCAAAGATACTTAATTCTTAATTACACCTAGAAACTATCATAGGCACTGGGGAAATATGAATCAATAATGTCAGTGTCATAGATTACTGTCATCAGCAGCAGTAAACAATGACTGTGTCTCCTGGGTGTGGTGTCAAGAAGCATCACAGTCAGGAGGCAGAAGTTGGTGGGACAGTTCTGCCCCTTACTAATTCTAACAGAAATCATCTAACCCCACTGGTCTACAGTTTATTCAATGAATAGCTGGGGAGAGGGGGAGGAATTAGAGTAACATATATGGGAAATTTTATAAATATCTATACCTCAGGGTAAAAAGTGTCAATTATTTTTATGATAAAGGTAAGAATGCCAAGTATAGTGGGGCTATTTTAGGATTCTGCCTCGTATTCTCTAGGAGTGGCTTGTTTGGTAAAAAAAATATATAGATGTAGATATACATACTAAATTTTTAAAATCATAAACCTCCATGAAAAGAAAACATAGTTTAGACAAATGCAATTTTTAGGAACTAGAGATCCCAGATAAACATCACTAAAGCTTTGAAAATGAGTTTTAAATTTTTCTTTTCCATTTTCTGATATTGCATTTAATAGTTTCCTTCCTGGCCTCTGAAGATTTAGAATGCTACAGAAGAAAAATCATAGGCTTTATTTTATTTCATGTTGGTTTTTCTTTTTAATGAGCCAACACCTAAGAAAAGTGGAGAGAAAGCCCAGGTAGATCTTGAAACCTTAGGACTTTGGCACAGGGACCCTTAGTATTCCTGCCATTTAAATTTTTTTAGGTAATTTGCATTTATATATTAGAGTATTCAAAACAAGAATAGCACAGCCTTAAGGTTGTGAGCTAATATGATGCATGGTTACAACACATGGGCAGGATAGAGCCCCACCCCCTGCTGCTGACACCCAAAATTTGGTTGGGATGTCAAGACTGGTGAGGCTTCACACACCATTGGAGCATAGAAAAGTTTGTTGGTCACATAAGGAAGCCTCTGAGGAGGGTGTGGCAGGATCCCAGGCAAGTCCAAAAATGGCTGAGAGAACAGAGAAAGAAGCATGGCTTGGAGTTCATGGTGGGGCTGAGCTGAGTGTTCTCCTTTGTAAGGGCCAGACTCTCATGGTTTGAACTTCCTGCAGGTGCTGCCAAAGGAGGGAGTCCCTGGCCTTTTGCCTTAGCTTACCCAGACGTGGGGCAAAAGGGGCAGGGGCAGTGGCAGGGACTAAAGGCTGCCAATGGTCAAACATGAAAAACAATTCAGACTCTGTGTTACAGACTCTTTATGACAATACTATGGAGAATAAAGTGTACACAGTACACTCCATCCCACCCATTGCCAACTCCCCTTCCCCGATCCAAGGCAACCACTCTTCACTCTTATCAACTTCTACGCATCCTCCCAGAGGGTATCTATGTACACACACACACCCCTCATTCATTTTACTAAAGATTAATGAGTTAGAAACCAGATAGACCAGGGTTTGCTTACATTCCTTCAAACCAGCTCTGCTATTGTCTGGATATGACTCCTTGGTTATTTTACCTTTCTGAGTCTCTGAAGGCTTTACAGTCCTCTGTAAAATGCAGATGGAACTACTACCTGCTGGGATTTATTATAAAGAATAAATGACATACCGCACGAACAGTGTCGGGACGGTACTAGTTGGTACTAAGTGGTGTCCCTTTTATCTTGTTTTCCTCCAACTTCTTTGGCTGCTCTTTATCAGCCTCATTTGCAAATTCCCTTTCCTTTATTGACTCTGAAATATTAGGAATTTCCTAATTTTTCCACTTTGGCCTTTTAATCTCCTCCCCTAACTCATTGTCCCTAGATGTTCTTGGCTGTGTCAGCGGCTTCGAAACAGCTTTATGGGTTGTGGTTCCACTCAGCTTTGCCTGCTGCAGCCCACACGTCAGTGTACAAATGTCTACTAAATGTCTAGATTTAAATGTCTAGTAGACACTTCAAAATTAGCAATATGTCTTCATCTTTCCCCAAGCTCTTCTTTTCTTAAGTTTTCTATCTTAGTAAATGGCCCTATTATCCACCCAGTTCAAACCCAGAAACGTGGAGGCATAATCCTTGACCTTGTTTTCGTCCTCATTTCACACCTCCAGTCAATCCCCAAATTTTGCCACACTGCTCAAAATTATCTCTTGATCTGTTTAATTACCTCCACCCCATTGAACACTTTCTAGATCAAGTCATGATCATTTCTCAAAAAATTATTGCAACAGCCTCCTCCCTGGTCCCCCTTCCAGTCATGCTGGAGAGGACAGAGAGACCTTTCCAAAATACACACGTGATCCTGTTAACTTCCTGATTAAATTTTGTCAGTGGATCTCCATTTCTACCTGTATCTGGTTCAAACTCCTTAAGTAGATGCAATCTCTCTCTTTCTCCCTCTCTCTTTTTCTCCTGGTCTCTAGGGATCTTACCCAATTCCAATGGCTTTAAATACCATTTTATGCTAATGATTCCGAATTTCATCTCCTAGACTCCTACCCAGACCTCTCTACCCTGAACTCAATCCCTTTTACAACAGCCTACCTGACATCTCCATCTGAATGACTCATAGGCATCTCAGAAATGTGTCTTTACCAGGATTCCTGATTTCCCTCCCCCAGCCTGCCTCATTTCATCAAGCCACTTAACTGCTCAAGTCAAAAAAAGAAAAAAAACACCTAGAGATTATCCTTAATTACCTTTTTCTCAGCCTGTACATCCAATTCATCTGTAATTCTGTTAATTCTATCTCTAAAACTTATATTAATATCAAATCTGTCCATTTCTTTGTATTCTTATTCCCATTACCTACCTGTCCAAGTCATCTTCTCACTTATTCCTATCCTTGCCCCCCATTCACTCTAATACACAGTAGCCAAAGGAGTCTTTTTTAAAAAAAGTATAAATCAGATCATCTGTCTCTTGTTTAAAACCTATCAGTGACTTCCCATTGCTTTTAAAATAAAATCCAAAATCCTTACCATGACTTGCTTGTCTCATTCAGGATATACAGACTCTTACTACCTCTCATTCACCACACCATGAGTGCAGGTCATTTTCTTTCTCACTCTTTGTATCTCAAGTATCTAGGAGAGTGCCTAGTACACAGAATAAATGTTTGTGGAAAGAATGAATAAGTGAGTGGCTCACAAGCCCCCTCTTCATCTGTTCCTGCTTTAGCTCTTCTCTCTCTACTCCTCCACCTCATGACCTATGTTCTACCATATGCCAGAAGTAGAATGAAACTAGGCAAGTCTCTCTTACAAACACTGAGTGATGGCAGAGAGATCAAAGTGAGAGAATTCCAGGAGATATGTGAAAACTCAATGGCAGAATTCAGAATGATTAACTCAGTCCTGGATGGACTTCTCTAGGCTCTTCTCAGCTCATACTTTAAAAGGTTTCCAGGGGGTAAACTCACAACTAATGGACAGGGTGAGCATTGTAGAGGGGAAGGGCATGCCTCTAATCCTCGTTCGAGTGAGGGAAAGATGTAAAATATAACCAAAATATTTGTATCCTCATAATATCCTGAAATAAAAAAATTTTTAAAAAGGGTTTCCAGAGCATTTTTTAAGTTTTAGTAAAATATAAATGACATAAAATTCATTATTTTTACTATTTTAAGCATACAAGTCAGTGGCATTAAACACATTCATAACGTTTTGCAACTGTCACCATCTCCAGAACGTTTTTTTCTTCCCAAACAAGGATTCTGTATCCATCAAACAATAATTCTCCCTTCTTCCCTCCTGCAAGCCACTGTTTACCTTTACAATCTACTTTTTATCTCTATGAATTTGGCTATTCTTGAGAACTCATATAAATGGAATCATACAATATTTTTCTTTTTGTGTCTGGCATCTTTTACTTAACATAATATTTTCAAAGTTTGTCCATGTTGTAGAATGTCTCAAAGTTGTATCACTTTTATGGCTGAATAATATTTGAGTTTGTTTCTAATTCATTTGTCCAACAAATATTAATAAAGTATTTTATTAAGGGCCAAGCACTGCTCTAGGCTCTCTGGAGATAGCAATGAACAAAACAGATAAAACTACTACTTCTTACATATACACAAGTGAATACATAGTATGTTAAATGGTGACAACTGCTATGGAAAAAAAATATTGCAGAGACTTTGTAGCTTTGTAGGAAGCAGAGATCTTAGAGGGAAGGTGGGA